ACTGGTTAATCTCATTTCATTTATCTTAAAGTTTGCTGTTCTTTTGTTGTTCAAATTGGCTGTTGAACTCCTGTAGTGAATTTTTAATGTCAGTGTGATTTTCAACTCCAGAATTTCTATTTGGTTCTTTGTTTTATAATTTCCATCTCTTTACTAATATGCTTAATTTGGTAAGACATCATTCTCATAATTCCTTTAGATATGATTTCTTTTAGTTCTTTGAAAATAACAAAATAGCTAAAGTCTTTCTGCAATAAGTACAACACTTGAACATTTTCAGGGGCGATTTGTATTGACTGCTCTATTTTCTGTGTATGGAGTATAATTTTTTGTTTCCTTATATGTCTCATAATTTTCTGTTGAAACCTAGGCATTTTAATAACATAATGTGATAATTCTGAAAATCAAATTATCCTTCCTCCCTGGTGCTGTTGTGTTGTCTAGTGATTTTTCAGACCTACATCTGCAAAGTCTTTATTTTTTTTCTTACATGTGGCCACTGAAGAATCTGCTTGGTGAACTTAGTGGTCAGACAATGATGAACAGAGATTTCCTTAAACACCTAGACTCTCCCATTTGCAGAGTGTACCTGTGTGTGTGAGGACAAACCTTTAACACTGGGCAAGGAGGATGACACCTCTGCTTCAGTCTTCACTTTCTGCCTGCACAGAGCCTCAAAGTCAGGCAAAGATAAGAGCTTAGGACTTTCTCAGGTTTTTTTTTCTACATTCTAAGCCCTAGACATGGAGGTGATCTGCTATAGTTCCAGGAATATGTCAGAGTTCTTCAAAATTCCCTATGAGCACCTCATTCCTCAGATTTTGAAAAATTTTAAACAATTGTTAAAGAATCTTTGATTTTTGTTTTGATAAACACCTGGAGGCAATTTGTCCTTAGTGGGTTCCTGGTCAGTACAAAATAAGTATTAGCCCTTTCAGTGGGGGTGTTCAGGGTACCAGCAGACACTTCAAATGATGGCAGTTCTCCAGAAATGGAGTTTGGAAGGACTTCCAACCATATTCTCCCCCTTCCCATGGCTGGAAGGTCACAGCTTTAAACATGAATGTGGACTTGTGGTGTTAAGGCTATCACAGAACTGCAGAAGATGGGAATAGGGCAAAACAAAATCCCACAAAACTCACCATTCTTACTACATGTAGCCCTTTTTCTTCAATAAACATTTCTTGAATTGCTACAAACCTTTGTTTCATTGAAAAGATTCTGAAAGAAATTCAGATACCTTTTGCTTGTTTGCTCATTAGAGTTATGGAGGAAAGGATTTTTGAAAATCCTGCCTTTGCCCTTACCACTGATGTCCGATTCTTTTATTTTTAACCTTTATGTGAAGTATTTATTTAGGTGTACCACATGTAAATGAGTTTTATAAAGTCCCAGTTGAAAAACCTTTGTCCTTTATTAGGAAAAGTAAACCTTTTAGCATATTATGTTCACAGGCATATTTAATATTCAGTCTCTTTATTTCCAGGTCCTTTTTTAATATTTCAATTATTTTTATCATTGTTCTACACTGCCCTCTAATAATATGAAGTCCTACTTCTTATTTCTATTTTACTATGTTACTATAAATATGCACATCAAAATATTTAAACTTACATTTTTTATCAAAATAAAAACTAAACAATATAATAAGCACCTAAGATCAAATTTCAAAACAATAGTTAAAACAAGAAAGGAAATTAAATCATTGTAATACATTTCTGAGGCTCTGCTTTGGAAAGACTTGGTTCTTCCAACAATTGCTGCGATTTACTAAGTGACTACAAGGCACCAAACAAGACAGTAAATTTCATTTGTTGGTTAATTAATCTTCACAACTCTATACAAATATCTTGTTATTATCTATTTACATATGTCTAAATAAACTCAGAGAATTTAAATAAGGTGCTCTGAATCACACAAATTGTAGATAACAACATCGACATTCATGTTTGGATCCACTAAAGCCAGAGCCATCACCACCGCGCTTTTCCATGCCTCTCCTGCTCCATAAGAGCAAAAAACTAAGAGCACAGTTAGCTGGGAGTGGTATTCATATTCCTAAAATAGATCATAGAAAATTGTCTTTCTTGCGATCTTTCATCTGACAAAATTTTTAAATATGTAGGAAAGAAAACAATAACAATAGATGAAAGTTAGAAAATTGTAAACGCGCTAAAGAATAGCCTTAAGAAAGGGACATCCGGGGGAGTGTGAGGAGGAAGTCAAAGAGACAAAACCAACCTAAGTTGATGGAAGGGAACAGATGGGAGATGAGCAAGGACAAAAGGGGCCACGTGAGTAGGTGTCATCAGTTAGAGGGCAAGTCACTGGAATTTGATCAATCGACAAGAATTTATTTACTGGACTCCTGGGCATTGTGGGAGATACAAAACAAGGTAGAGCTATTTTGGGAAGGATAATGATGTACACAAGACAGATGGCTTGAACTGGGGCATTAATGCTGAACGAAAAGGCAAGAGACAGAAGGCAGAAAAAAAGGAAGAGGTTAAGGCAATTCCCATGTGAGCCAGCTTGCCTATGAATCTGGAATTTGTGTGGACAGAGAAAGAAGCAAATTAGGTAGAACTCTGTAGCTGTTATTGAACCAAAGATAAAGAACTCATAGATGAAAGGGAAAGAGATCACCTGTCCTTTCAATTTCTGCTTTTTTGAAAATTAGAAGATTAATAAAGATTTATAAAACATACCCACCTACACATGCACATACTCAGTAAGCTAAAACAGGGTAGAGCCTAATGGATGTGACCAGGATGGATCAGTCTGACCACCTTGGGAGAAACTAGAAAGTCTTTCTGTCTTGGAGGAATTTGCAAGCAAGACTTAAAAATGTCTAAGGGCATTTAACAAAGTGGATCTCTGTTTATTGAAGTGAAAGTAAATCAAAACTGGTGTTAACTGACAGAGAACCTAGTTGAGAAACATGATGTGGAAATAAAATTTCCAGGTATTCCTTTTGTATCATACACAACGGACTCTTATATGCACTCACTTATTCCAATGTATGTATTGAGGACCTTCCATAACAAAAACATGAGCTACTGTGAGTCTTCCTAGATACTAGGTTCTTTGCACGCATTATTACATCAAATTTTTACAACAATAATATGAAGATACTATTATCATCTCCCATTTTACAAAAAAAAGATGGGAGACAGGCTCAGTAACTTGTCCAAGATCACATAGTTAGTAGGGTAAAAAGTAGGCATTCATATCCTAATCTATGTTATACTTCTTCTACCTGAGGTCGATGCATTTAGGCACTGACATTAGAAAAATTAAGATTTGGCAGTCTTGGTTCTTAACAAGCACATAGACTCACTGGGAGACAGGAAGCCAAAATACAATAATTGTAATACAATAAGACATTTATTGTATATGCTAAAGTAAATGAGTGAAGAAATATATAAATTTCCCTGAGGTTCTCAGAAACTACTTGAGCAGGGATTTTAAGGATCAATAACATTTCCTAGATGATGAAAGTGAGATAGAATTCTAGTACATACAAAATGCTACGTGCAAAGACCCACAGGTAAGAAAAAGATTGAAATAGTAATGAACACTCCAGAGAGGTCAGACAGACTGCAGTGTAGCATTGAGTACAGTAGGAGATAAGCACTTCCATATGACTCTAAAGAATTTAGAATTTATCCTGCAGAAAATGGGAAATTGTTGAAATCAGCTCTATGAAGAGTTTCATCAATAAAAGAGGTTCTACAGTTTTATATTCTGGGATCTATAAGGTTGTAAAAAATCAAGGCCTTCAAGATGACCTAAAGGTCACAGATAAGTAGCAATGCCAGGGTTACGAATGGAAGGCAAACACAAATGCAAAGGGAAGCTGAGCATGGTGGTGCATGCCTGTAATCACAGCACTCAGGAGGCTGAGACAGGAGGATTGCCAAAAGTTTCAGGCCAGCCTGGGCTACACAGTAAGTTCGAGGCCAGCCTGAATTACAAAGCCAGACCTTGTCTCCAAAAGCAAACAAAAAACCAACAAAAGGTGGGAATGGTAGGAAGGTAATAGCATCTTCCAGAGAGCTCTGGGTCCTACGCCCTGCAAGCTTCAGCAGATATGAAAACATTTCACAGGTAAGTGCCACAGCTAGTAATATTCATGCATTTCTTCATCAAGACAGATGGACACACACACACACACACACACACACACACACACACACACACTCACAGCAGCCACAGCCTTAATAGCATTTATATTCAGATAGCAATGTGCAAAATAAAGTTGGGTACCTCTTTAAAAAACATGGCTGACCTCCTAGAAACTGACTTCAGGTGTGATTCGGGAGTGGGGTCTGGGGTGTTAGAGATCGAAGACTTTAGGAACAACATTCAAATACTACTTGGAGCTAAGCAAATCAAGAGTGTACAGGAGGACCCCTCCCCAGGGTACCTGGGGTGAGCAGGAATGGTCCCACATATACAAATCCACCAAGCCTCTGCACATTGAGGCTGTTGACCAAATGAACACAATTAACCTCAGAGTTTCAGTGGCACCACCAGGAGAAGGGGTGTACAGCGAGCAGTCACACTGCCTTACAGAGGACGCATCCAGGGCAAGGTAAATAGAAAAGCCCTGCTTCCATATACCCAAGAATAACTAAACTGCCCTTAGGTTACAGAACTGGGACACTTCCTCAACTGGCTGAGAGACCAAAAGTCTCTGAGTAGAGCTTCATATCATATACACCTTTGTAAGGAAATGAACACGGACACACGGGAAGTGGAGGTTGTCATTTTATTCCTGTCACCAGTGAGGTCTGTGAGCATCGACGAGTTGCTTCTTTTCCCTGGGTTTCAGTTCTCACATTCTGAAAATAAAGAAGCTCGGTCAGATCATTCCTGAAATCCTTTCCAGCTCTAACATTATATTAGGATTCCAGTGGTTACCGGAGAGGATAAGATTCTTTGTCAACTTACAATTCTGTTGTAAATGATCCATTGGATTTTCTTCTTCTCCTTAGGAACTGCCGTGTGAAAATGACCCAGCAAATGCAGAATTTACATCTTTCTCAGTCAAAAAAACACAGCGCCCCATCATCTCCCAACGCGGCCAAACGCCTGTACCGGAACCTCTCCGAGAAACTGAAGGGGAGCCACTCTTCCTTCGACGAAGCCTACTTTAGAACAAGAACCGATCGGCTGAGTCTCAGAAAGACTTCCGTGGTAACAAAGCTCTTTTTATTCTGTGTCAGTTCAATTCGTTCAGTTATATTGGAAGACTCCAAGATGATCTGCATTTATTTCTGAAGCTAATGTTTTCACAATTTTATAAGTGCTGAAATAGAATCCAGCAGGGCAGGAACTACATGTATCTACATTGTTAGAGAACGTTTGAGTGATTGTGAGATTTTTTTCCCTTTTCTTTCCTGTAGCTCCTGTTTTACTACTACAGAAACCAATCTCAGAAAGAGGTGTTTGGCAAATATAGACTCTTGGGCTTTCTCAGATCTCCAGTGTTGATTCAAATAATAATATTATTTTCTTATTTTTACTGTGCACTCCACATGCTTTCCAAAGACATTCAAAACAGAATCCAGGCAATGGATGTACATCTACTACATTCTGATGAGGGGGAGAAAATATAATAGAAAAAGAAAACATATAGGGAATAAGAAGAGAAATAGGTATACAAAAACCTAGGTAAACATAGTGCCTGGGATTTATTAGTACATTTACAGTTGAGCTCCCAGGCAGTCAAAGCAGAAAAGGAAACATAATTTGTTGTAGCATTCCATTAGCAAACATTTGAAAGTATAGCAGTCTATCAGGAGACATGAACATTTTCCTGTTGCTAAACCATTTGACCTCTTATAGATGTCATAGGGAATTACACAGAGAGAATGGCAAAAAGGAGCTGAGCACGGTGGCACACAGCTGGAAGCCCAGCCCTCCAGAGGCTGAGACAGGAGGATTGTGAGTTCAAGGCCAGCCAGGGCTACATAACAAGTTTAAGCCAGCCTGGGTGGCATAGCAAGACCCTGCCTCAAATCCCAAAGGAGGGGGCTGGTGCATGAAAAGAGTCACACTGGTGATATTATACACATTCTCATAAAGTTTTCTATGTTGGCCCTCAGTAAAAGTTAAGACCATAATATAAACATGCTCAGCATGGGTATTTTGCCGGGGGTAGTAGCTCCATTTGTTAGAGCTTAAAACAAGTGAATCCTGGCCTTTCCAGATAGAAACAAGCTAGGGTTTGCCAACAGAAGCACGGAGGAGGAAATGACCTAAAAGTGAGAGTAAATATGGGGCATGGGATATTAGAAATACTAAGAATCAAAACTAAATACACACTGTGGACAGGGCTGCATTTCAACTTTGAATTCATTTGTTTTCTAACACATATTCTCATTTCAAATTCATCTTCTGGGAGGGCTTGGCTGTGGCTAAAGTTGCCTGACGATCAGAGGCCTTTCAGTTCAGCACTGTGTGGACAAAACACTTTTCCACTCGGCAGATTGTCTTGCAGCAACAAGAACCGCATACCAAAGTAGCTTCATCCCCTGGGTCCACATTGTGAAAACAGCAAGCATTTGCATAATTACTTCACATTTTCCTCAAGTTCCCATTATGTGGTATTACTTAGCTAAAGCCAACCAACAGTTTGTGATAGAGAGAATCAATTTTTGATGAGACTAAAAGTAAAACCTATCTGCCTAAACATTTGGTCACTAGAAGTCTTCCTCATGATAATCAAGTGACCACTATGCTAGGTCAAGCCCAATGGTATTTCAACATTTTTAAAGACCCAGCAATCCAGAGCCCTCCTTTGTTTATTGCTAATCCCTGGGGAAAAAAAAAACTTCTCAGAATAATCATATTATCCCTAGCTATTTTTTGTATAGGTCATACATATTCCATAAATGTTCAACTTCTGGCCCTCTCAGTCCCCCAAAACAATTAGCCACAAGCCACTGAAGTCTTCTGTGAATTCTGCCACTTGAGCTCTTCACTTGAGTGCTCAGAAATGCCAGGTGTGCAATGGTTGGGTGGAAAAAGTAAGTGTGGTATTAGAATGCCAAGGGATCTAGAAATGTAGGCATCCACCCGCAGGCCATATGGAGCTATGATATCTATAAACACTCATATAGCACACAACATATATTCTTTAGGATGATTACTCTTGTACCAGTGTAGAGCCTTCTAGAAAAGACAAAGACTGGCAGTAAATAGGTCACTGCCCTGATAAAGGCCAAGGATGATAACAACTAAGGCTGGAGAGGAAGGGGATGGGTTTGAGAGGAACAGAGAAGGTGCACTTTTAGGAGTGAGCTAGTCATAGTTAAAAGTATCTGTGCTAATATCATCTATGCCAGCAGCTTCCCAAGTGTGTCCTATAGAGCACTGTTCCAGAGGTAGTTAAAGCTAAACACAAAAAATATATGTTAAAGTGATTAAAGAAAACACATAATTAAAATAAGAATTCCTATAGTAATAATGGAGCAACTTGGTTTAATCCAGTGTTTACCAAGTTTACTGGATGGACCACGTGCTGCTTTTTTCATAGCATTCCTTTTAATGACCTATCAACCAGTATTTCTTCTGCAGAAGACTAGTTTGAGAAGTGCTTATTTTGGCACTTACCTAAGACTTGCCTTGTTATACAACTCGCCTCGTCTTAATGCATCTAAATTATTTGCTCCATGACTATTAGAAAGGAAAAGCTTCAGCAGTGTTCACTGACTGGGGAGACCTTATGGTACACTGTAGTCATACAACTGTCTGCCTATAAGTGGGCAGGCAGTCCCTAATGCATCTCTAAAGTTCAGAATAGCCACTCCAGAAAGACATACTGGCCTAAGAAATTGTGCTAACCTGCTTTCATTCTTCACTTCCAGAACTTCCAGGGCAATGAAGCCATGTTTGAGGCCGTTGAGCAGCAGGACATGGATGCTGTGCAGCTCCTCCTGGACCAGTACACACCAGAAGAGCTAGACCTCAACACACCTAACAGTGAGGGGCTGACACCGCTGGATATTGCCATCATGACCAATAATGTGCCCATCGCGAAGATTCTGCTGAAGACAGGGGCCCGAGAAAGTCCACACTGTAAGTAAACCTGAGAATAACAGCATTCTAACTAGACCTTCAAGGCAGGGATGGTTGACTAACAGGCTCTGAAAGTCTTCACATGCATTCATGGACTTTCATGCAAAGAGCCATCATGTTCATCAGTCTAAGCATTTAACTGCACCCCCTAATTAGAATATGCTAAATAATATTAAAAAGAGACCCCTCCCAAGGAACTTGCCTCCAAGAATTTTGGCTAAGCTTTTGAATATGTGAGACACGCCAAATGATAATATAGACTAGCAAGTAAAATAGAAAAAGAACGAGCACATGTGTGTTTGTGTCTTTGTATACCCGTCAATGTCTTGTCTTCACTCATTGATTCAACAAACACAGTGCAGAACAACATTCTAGGACCTGGTAATGCAGTGGTGAACAAGATGAACTTCCTATGATCATAGAACACAAATGCCAATGGAGGAGACTTCCACAAAGTAAGTAAACAAATAAATTAAAACAGAAACTCAAATAATAGATTCTATGAAGAAAATGAAATGAGTGAGCAGCTAGAGATTGATGGGGAAGATATTATTTTCAATAGGGTTAGGTAAGAGAAGCCTCTCTGGTGTGGTGATATTTCAGTTAGGTCTGAGATGAGCCTATAGAATGAGCCATGGGAAGATGCAGGAGTCGAATTCTGGGCAGAGTGAAGCGCAGCTAGGCAGGATCTAAGGCAATCAGGAATGAGGCTCATGGGGTGGAAGAATGAGCAAGCCAGTGTGGCCAAAGCAAAGTAGCACATGGGAGAGTGATGGCTGAGGCAGGAGCCAGGGGGACCAGATGGTGCAGGACCTTGAGGCCATGCCAAGATGTTTCCCTTGATGGGAAAACTGCGAGCATCATAGACGGATGAATGCCATAGGATCCTTGGCATTTAAAGATCACTACGATGCTCTGTGGAGAATGAATGGTGATGAGGGACTGGTGGAATCAAGACAACCACGTGGGAGACTACACTAATCATCCGGAACACACTGGCAGTTGCTTGGACAAGTTTGACTGTGTTGCTGACCAATGGGAGAATTCTGAATATACATTTTGACAGATGCATTAAGATACAGTTCAGCTCACCCATTGAAAGTGTGCAGTTTGATGGGTTTTGGTGAATATATATACAGAATTGTACAGCTATCACCACCCCTAAAAGAAACCCCATGCTGTTGAGCCATCACTCCCAGTGTCCCCTTTACTTCCAGTCCTAAGAAAATTTTCTGTTTCTATACACTTGTCTGTTCTAGACTTTTCATATAATGGAAATATGTAATGTGTGGTCTTTGGTGACTGGCTTCTTTCTGGATTTATTTTGAAGTAAAGCCTTGGGTAATACTTGTAGAGTGAGTTGCTCTGGGGCTGATGCAGACCCCGCCCAGGAGGGGAGCAGATAATATCGTATAGCTTTCAGCCTGTGCCATGCACTATACGGAATACTTTATATGTATGGACTCCTTTAATCCTCACACCATCATGAGGTACGCTTACATTCCCCTTAGTGCAAACCCTCTGACTCAAAGACCACAATGGCTCTGGGCCACAGATTTTATGCTTCCTAAAAGAAAAAAGTAAACTCATCAAACTGTTAGCTTCACTAAGACTGATTCACTTATTTCCGAGTGGTCAGGCCCAGAAGGCTGAAAGAGAAGTAAGCAAATATATAATTAGAGGTCACATCTCTGCTCCTGAATTTCATAAGCCACTACCACCCAAAGACTGGGTCCAGAGGCAGATCCTTGTATGAGGAAAATCTTTATTTGAAAAATGCTAAGTTCACCACATCCATGTCAAAGAGAATGAGGATTTGGACTCAATAGGATTTGGAGCCTTCAAAAGAGCTCCATAGTCAAAGCACTGATTTTTTTTACAGAACTGGGGGATTTTGAGAGATGGGCAAATAAGGGGGCACTAAATCAAAAAGACACATTTGCTGCCTCCTAATTCATCCTGTGATAACATCTACCCCATAGATTCAGGGAAAGAGAAGCAGAAAGAGATTCAGAGGGTCTAGACGCAGAGAATGCAGACTGAGCCCCATTCCACAGGAACAAGGAGACCTTTGATCCAGATGCTACACAGCCATCCTACACTGGGATAGAGGAAGCATTAGTCCTACTTACGTGAGAGACAACCAAGAACTCTGCATTTTTCCTGAAGACAAAAAGACTCCCAACTTCCCAAAGCCCTCCTGTGCAAATTTAAACCTCCATAAAAGAACTCAAGTACTTTCTAGTTGAACCAAAAGCATATTTGTGCAAGAGACCCCCAGTGTAACTTGTTCCTGCTGGAATGATAACCATGATATCATCGCAAAGTTGTAAAGGATGGACAGTTTCAGCTTCCATGAAATATGACATTTAAATCACCTAGTTGACCCAAGAAGTCAGAAATTCCAATAAGCAAGTAGGAAACTTCCAGTAAGCAATTAAATAGGTAAGTTAAACCAAAAACTCAAATAATAAACTCTATGAAGAAAATGAAATAAGTAAGCAGCTAGAGATTGATGGGGGAGATATTATTTTCGATATGGTTAGGCAAGGGAAGCCTCTCCAATGTGGTGATAGTTCAGTTAGGTCCTAGATGAGCCTATAGAGATGAGCCATGGGAAGATGTGGATTGTACTACATCCAGACCCACACATGTGTGAAAATGGCAGAGGAATATTGATTGAGGGCCTATGAGGTCTCCATACACATTATGTCTGGATTTTATAGTAACTCTGTAGTAGAATGTTATTAAATTGATTTTGAAGATGAGAAATGTGTGATTCTGAGGGATTCGGTGACTAGCTAATAGTTACACATCTAGCAAAATTAATAGGATACCAATACCTGGTGTCCCTCGACACTAACTTACTCCCTTTCCAAATAACCAGTATGAAAAGAGATGGCCACTGGGCCCCTGTATCTTTCTCTTTGTCCCGTTTGCTAAAATCCGATGGTATAATTCTTTATTCTGTTCTGCGCACCAAGGTGACATTTGTGTTGAAGGGAGGCAGAGTAGAAGAATAGAATGTTTTCAGGAATTTTTAATTCACTTTCTACATCAAGTACAAAAGAAAGAAAAGTGCTTTTGTTCATGAGTTTGAGCCTACCCATGAGAAAAACCATTCTGCCATCCAGAACGAGATAAGCAAACACCTGCTGTAAACTGTTCCCAAGGAGCTAAAGAGGCAGGATCTCATAGAAGAAAAATAACAAAGAGGCTTTAAGTTCTTAGTGTGTCTTACACACACAAAAATGCATGTGTCTACATCATCTTACTTGATTCTCAAAACTGGCTTGAGAGATGGGTATTATTTTTCTCATTTAATCAGGGAAGAAACTAGAAGAAAAATCAAATAGTTCACCTAACACATTATGAAGCTAACAGGTGCTGAAGCCATAATTTGAATCCAGATGTCTTTTTAGTGCTTTGGCATTTGTAGAAGAGTTTTGGCAAAATCACTCTTACACAGTAGATGCTCAATTCCTTCCTTTCCTGGCTCTCCATCTGTTCCTCTCTTAATGACTGTCACATATTTCAAAGCATAGCATGAGGTTTCTAACATAGTTCATTTTCTTCCTCCCCTTCCCCTGCGTACATCCATCCTAAAATCAACCCTATGTCTGGTCACTATGCCAACTAAGGAGCCCAACACAATTCAGAAGAAATTCCTCTACAGTCCTCACCATTTCTTACCATGAATCACAACAACACAGTAGGGTTTAGGAATTTACTTGTTTGTTTGTTTGTTTTTCTGGTACCAGGAGTCAAACTCATGACCTTGCGCTTGCCAGGCAGGCACTGTGCCACTGAGCTAAATCCCCAGCCCTAGGAATTTACTTCTGAAGTCATTGATCAGACCTGTATTCCAGTCACTCACTCCTCAGTAGAGCTAGATGGAGGTGTTCATAAACATGGCTTGACACCCAACCAGGAACTTGTGCTTATTCATGGGAAAAGTCCCAGAAGCATCCACCCAAATTTGCACATTTCCCTGACAATAAATAATATATGCACAGTAGCCTTGTTGAATCATCAGATAAATCTGCCCTCTCTCATTAGCAATGGTTTTATGTTCCACCTTTAGGCAAATGACACAAGTAGTCCCTCCTCTGCCTACAGGGAATACACTCCAGTACCCCAGTGGATGCTTGAAATCATATGTAGTACCAAACCCTATCTATGCTGTGTTTTCCCCATACACTGCATATCAATGATTGAGTTTAATTTATAATTTAGGCACAATAGGTGACTACCATCAAAAATTAATAATAAATCAGAGCAACTGTAACAATTAAGCATCCCTACTCTTGCACTTTGGGACTATATTAAGTAGATTAGGGTTACCCCAATGCAAGCACTGCAATATCATGACAGTTGATTGCATTACTGAGCTGTCTACCAAGTGGCTAACAGGTAGGGAATGTATACAGCGTGGATACAGTGGACAAAGGAGATAAAACAGAGCATTTTGTCACAGTGCTGATTTTGCCACACTACTGAGACTAGTGCGCAGCTTACAACTGACAAATTATTTATTTCTAGAATTTTTCATTTAATATTTTTGGAGCACAGTTGGCTGTGAGTAACTAAAACTGTAAAATGAACCTGAGGGTAGGGAGAAGAGCTGTAATATTCATTCTTGAAAAAAAGTATCAGCCATCATTGAAGCAGAATCCCAAGTACTTCCCTGCAGACTAGGGTGTCGAGCTAGGACACGGGCACAGGATCTGAAAGGATTCCCGAGGGAAGCCCATGAGCGGAGGGACCATAAGATCCCCTCAGCTATGCCATTGCTGATTTCTAAGTTGCAATTGAACAGCTGCTGTTTGAGAAGGACTTGTTATCTCTGTCTATAAAAGCCCCCCCGCATCACACACCTCTCCCTTTTTCTGACTCACTAATATCCTGCCCCTATCCTCCAATCACAGCCCAACTATCTCCAGGGGGAGTTTGCTGAATGGTCAACAAAGGCCTTGCCTTCCTGAGACTGCCGCTGGTTT